AACAAAAACAAAAAAAAAAAAAGGTGGACTGTATGTGCAGATCCTACAGGGGCCAGAAGAGGGTAGACTCCTCAGAACTGGGGTTGTAAATACCTGTGAGGCACCAAGTGCTAGGAACTGAACTCAAGTCCTCTGCTCTTAATCAAGAAACCACCTCTCCAGCCTGACTAGGTTTTTTGGTTTGTTTTGTTTGAAGATTTTTCTGGAGCCTTACTTCTGGGTCTCACCTTCCCCTTTGTCTTGCAGAGGACAAGGTAGTCTTATTTCTAGTCTCCTTGGAATAGCTCTTCGCTGAGATTCTCTTGACTCAGACTAGCACCCAGTCTCTGGCTGGACAAGTTAGTGAGGGGAAGTCCGGAGTAGAGAAACGGTCTCTCCCTGTGTAGTCAGACACCTTCCAACCTAGCATAGCTGGGCTTTGCTTATTGACCTGCCTTTTGAAGGAAAATATTTCTAGATTTCAGCACAAGAGCAGGCATGACAAGGGACAGAAGCTGAAGAAAGTTGGAAGAGTTTTAGTCTGAAAATGGTTTTTCTTTTCTCCCTTTGATTCTTGCCAGTGCTGTGTAGGGCTATCAAAGAATCTTCGTCTTATTTCTTCTTGGATTTTGTGATCTTGAATGACAGTCAAGAATGCACTTTGCTCTTTTTTGAGTTACTTATAATGGATTTTCTCTTCTGCATAGTCTTAATGTCTTCAAACTGGATAATTTGGGGCTGCACAATACTTGGGTTACTAATGCCACAGACAGGCAGGCACATAACAGGGTGGTAGTGTCTCTGCGAAGGCTCCAGCCCCACGTGGCAGGAGGAAGTGGGGGAGAGTCTGTGCCACACGGTGTAGGAGTAGTTCGTCTTCTGTGCGTACAGTAGAGCTGGTTCTGAATGAGGTGTGAGGATGGGGAGGGAGAGAACCTAGAAAAATCAGGTCTTGTTAGTTCTCGTGGTTTCAGGAATTGTCAAATTTAGTCCCAAACGGGGGGAACTTTATAAAACACAGCCCTTGCTAACAATGCCCTTGCTTGTGGCAAATAGGGAGAGCGTGGTAGTAGCTTTTGTACTTCATGAATGATGGCTCCACACAACGGGCCACAAGGAGCTGCCCGGTGACAGGACGTGATGATTGAGTGCCCCTGCAAGGAAAGTGGTCTTCAAAGAGCTGGAAAGAGCCTTACTCGGGTTTAACCACAAGTATTTTAGGGCAAGGCGTGTAGTTCTGATAGAAAGGGCTTGCCTGGGTCCTATCTCTAACACCACAAAAATCAAACAGAAGTGTTTTAAACAGATAACTGTGCCTGCAGAAGGCCTGTTCTGTGTCACCATTCTCTGGGGACCTGTTAAGATCAGACAGTGAACAAGAGTCTCTGCCGTAGACTGTTTCCATCTCTGTATCGAATGCCTGCTGCTCAGATAAACTCCGTGTGGCTGCTGAGCTTTGCTGGCTGGATTAACTGTGTGTTCACCTTGAGCCTGCCCTTTCCACCATTGGTTTTAGTACAAAGCAGGAAACTTAGACCCAGAGTTTAAGTTTAAGGCATATCCATGGCAAATGGCTAGAACATTGTTCAACCGAGATCAAATTTGTTCCTCTTAGCCGCTATGCTAATGCCTTCTCTAAATGCAATGTGGAGCCCCACAAATCTCTTGGTTTTTTTCCCCATGTGCACATGAGTATGATGTGCTGTGTGCTTGTGTATGAATTACGTTTTTGTATGTGTGTGGTTGTGCATGCACATATAATTGGTATATGGGAACCTTTCCTAGTTGGTTCCCGTGGCTGTGATTAAACTTTATGTTCCAAGCAGCTTGAGGGAGGGTTTTATTTGGCTTAGACATCATGATAACAGTCTGTCACTGAGAGAAGCCATGACAGGAACTCAGCCCTAGGAACCTGAAGGGAGGAAGTCAAGCAAAGACCACAGAGGAGTGTTGCTTGTTGGGTTGTTCTTTGTGGCTCACTGGCTTTGCTCTTCCAATCAACTCTGGATCACTTGCTTGGGGGTGGTACCACTCGCAGAAGGCTGAGACCCTTTAATGGGGTAAATGCTCTTGGACCAGTCTGGTGGACACATTTTCTCAGCTGAGGTTCCTCTTTCTAGATGACTCTAGCTTGTGTCAAGTTGGCAAAAAAAAACTGAACCAGTACAAGGCCTAAGGTTGATCGTCAGGGTTCACCTTCGATCAATCTCCACCTCTTCTTTATCCACTGAGGCATCGTCTCTCAGTCAAATCCAGAGCATGCTCTCCAGCTTGCTCTGCAGATCTCCCATCAACACCTCTGAGGATGCAATTATGGAAAGGCCACCATTCCCACCTGAGGGTTCCAGGAGTTCTGAACTCTGATGGTCATAGTCATATGCTAAGTACTTGAACCTCTGAGCCATCTCCCTAGCCCCGTCTCACAAATCTTAACACATCTCAAGCCCCTGTGTAGACTGCCTTGGCATTGGGCAGGCTACCTGGCTTTGGTGGCCTGCAGGTTTTTCTGAGCTGTGTGTAAGTGTCATGGCAGCTCATCTCTGAAACAAAAGAGGGGCTCTAGTCTTTTGTCTTATCTTCTGCAGGCATTTTCCAGGGATAGAAGGGCAGCTAGCTTATAAAGGGGGCTAATTAGAAATAAGATTTAAAGACAGCTCTGCAGCTAACCAGGAATTATGGCTTTCTAGCCAAGTTCATAATTACGATCTTAGGAATGCTTGTATGATATGTAATCTTTAAAAATAAAGCAAAGAAAAGAATACATTTATTTTCCAGATGTAAAGTGAACATAATGGGCCCATTGTGGGAATAAATTTCTGTGTTTTGTAATCTCAATGGGAAAAAAAATCATTTAATATGTGAATGTAATCTAATGAAGATAAACCTGTACGGTGGCTAAGCGTACATACGCTAGAGAATGTTTTAACGATGGACCGGCTTACCTGGAGACGTGTGGCTCCTTTGTTTCTGTTCTTATGCAGTTTGTCTCTTCACAAATCTCACTGCTAATTAGAAATTAGGTGGGGCTGGAGAGGTGGCTCCTCAGTTGAGAGGAGGTGTGGCTCTTGCCGAGGACCTGCTCCTACCCAGTCCCTATGTGATGATTTCCTACTATCCTCAACTTCAGCTCAGGGGATTCGATACCCTCTTCTGACCTCAGCAGATACCAGGCACACACATGTTGGTACTCATATATACATACATGTAGGTAAAACACTCAAACATGTACAAAGTAAAGAAGTCTAATTTTTTTTTTAAAAGATTCTACCTATTTCGTGGGATCTAGGTCGGAGCTGGCCTGCTAACTTTAGCTGGAGGTCACAGACATTAGATGAATTATAGGTGATTAATCTTCACTAGAGGGTCACAGGGCTTAGTATATTCCCTTTCCGACGAACTGCTATCATATTTCTTCATCTTAAGGAAAACTACTTGCTTTATCTGTCTTAAGGGGACTATTAATTTCCTTAAATTGGTTTGTAAATTATGAACAGCAACTTTTTTGTCTAGTGTGTAATTAATTTTTTTTGACAAAAGGACCAGTGAAAGTTTTGTCTTATTTTTGTAATTCATCTATTAATCTCTGTGTGTGTGTGTGCGTGCACGAGTGTGCATATGCACACATACACATGCATGAGCATGTGGGTACCACTAAAAGAGGGTGTTTGATCCCCCTGAAGCTAGAGTTACAGGTGGTTGGTTGTACCTGCCCCATGCGGGTGCTGGGATCCTAACTCTGATCTTCTACAAGAACAGCAAGCATTCCTACCTGCCTAGAAGCTACTTTAGTGTTTTCTTGTTGTTGATGTAGCAAGCCAAATTTGGTTGTGAAAGAAAATTAACCCCAAGGGGAGTGACCTTAATGGGAGGTGTGGCCTTGTTGGAGGATGTGTTGTCACTGTGGTGGTGGGCTCTGTGGTCTCATATATGCTCAGGATGCTACCCTGTTTTTCAGACCACTTCCTGTTGACTTAGTGAAGAGATAAAAACTCTCATCTCCTTTTCCAGCACCATGTCTGCCTACACACTTCCATGCTTCCTGCCAGAATGATAATGGACTAAACCTCTGAATTTTAAGCAAGCCACCACAATGAAATGTTTTCTTTTATAAGAGTTGCTGTGGTCACAGCAATAGAAACCCTAAGACAACAAATATCTTAGTCTTTTATACTTTCAGATTTTGCTCTCATGTTTCAAAAGACCTTTGTTATCCTAATATTATAAAATATTCAGACACATACTCCTCTAGTAATCATTCCATTCCATTTTAGATCATGTTTTTGTAAGTTGAGAAGTCTTGTAGAATCCCTACCCCCACTTAATAAATCCCCATAATTTCTTAATCCACTTTTCATTCCTACCTGGACTTGATGACATGTTCCTGTCTTTTATGAACACTGCACTTCTCCCCTTGCCTTGTTGATTCACTGTGACCAGACTGTTTTGGTAAATCTGTACTTGATGGTGTTTTTCTGCCTCTTGTTGGGTTTCTACTGAGTGAGGTGTCAGATGGTGAGCTCTTGGGGGGCTGGGGCTCAGAGTGGACATGACAGAAAGATGAAACAAGGAGGATCTGCTTGATAAATGAGTCCCAGGAACTAAGAAAGAAAGAGGTGGACAAGACAAGAAGGATTCTGTATGCTCACGGGGGAGGGCGAGTTGGGGGGGGGGCACGGGGTCTGAAATTGGTTTAGACATGGTGCAGGAAGAAGCACACATTTATTTGGTTTTTTGTTTAATTTCAAATCCATTAAAGCCTTCCTAACGCAGAGGAGGGGAAGTGTTCTGCCTCTTTGCCAGCAGTAATGTAATTTTGGTCCTTGCGTAACTGTCCTGGGACCTCAATTCCCTGTTGGTCTAGCAAATTCCCAGCACATGTAGTGTGAGGGAGACTCATTGCTTTCGGAGTTACTTCCTTTCATTCTTAGTGTGGGGAAAATGACCAAATGTTTAGACTTTTTACTCACAGCCTCGTGTCTGAATCAGTATTTGTGTCTAATGGCTTCTCCTATTTTTTCTAGATATTGCTGCTAGAAGCTTCTCACACTCAGGATCTTCTCAGCGAAACCGATACTGCATAAACTGAGAATTTAGGTAAGTCTTTTAAAACTGGATGCAAGAAAGACTGTTTAAAGAAAACCATTCTCATTTACCAAGTCTTGGGGACAGGGACATGTGTTGATGTCCTCCAAAGCCTGTCACCTGTCACCTCCCCTGTATGTTGCAGCAGATGTGCAGAATTCCTGGTCCTGGGGCCTGCTTGCTGTTTGGCTTCCTCCCCTGAAGGTTGGGTATATGAAAAGGGATGTGGAGCTGGGTATTTCCTGACCAGGTCTTCATGAATCCACATTCATCCCCATGGTTTGCTTTGTAAACACTTTTAGAGGGTGAAGATTATAAGCACTGAGTAAGGAACTAATCTAGAAACTCCGTCGTCTTTGTAATGAAGTCCTGGGGACTTCGGGTTGTAAAGATGGATGTGGGATGGGAGGAAGTAAACATGAATTACAGGTAATGGGTTTTTCTTTGGCTGTGCATGGGACAGATCCCAAGTGGTATCTGTCCACTTGGAAAATCTGCAAGGGGATGTAGGGACACACCTGCAGATTCTGGTTTGCTGAGTTTAGTCTGACAAGGTAAATATAGTCCGACAGCCCTTAAGTAGTGTCATGGGCCACCCACCTTGTCCAGTTCTGGTTCTAATTGGTTGATGGCCTTGGGCCAGGTCATTTATTCTCTGACCGTTCTCTGTCTCCATCTGTGAAGTTTGTAGGATAGCCCAGGCTAATTGTTTATGGGCTTTCAGATATGGAGCAATAGCAAAACCATGTTAGGATGAATTTTCAATATCTTTTCAGTGAATGTGAGCAAAGTTGATGATTGTTGAAGCTCAGTGGGTTGTGGGATTCCTGTGTGTGTTTATATGTAGTCCTACTTTGTGTCTGGAAATTTTCATGGTAAAAGGTTTTCACAGAATAATACTATCCTCTGCTAATACCATCTTACAAAAGAATGATTATTTTGATACTGAAAGAGTAGGGACAAGGAGTGGTGTTGCACACCTTTAATCATAGCCCTTGAGCCAACCAGATCTCTGTGAGTTCAAGGCCAACCTGGTCTACATAGAGAGTTCCTAGCCAACCAGGACTATATCATGAAGCCTTGCCTGTCTTTAGCGAATACATATTTAGCTTTATAAAAATGACTGACTTTTTCACAGCCTTTTCTAACCCCTTCTCTACAATCCCGTGACCTTCAGTGGAAGACTCAGAAGTGTGGGACAGAGGGCTGACATTGGTAGGGCCTAGAGTATTGGTATGCCCCCAGAGCTGTGTCCTTTATCTTATTCAGGAAACAAGGTGTAACCTATGTTGACATTGTCTACATTCAGAAAATGCCCTTCGGCACACGTGAGTGAACTAAGAGACCTTCGATGTCAAGTCAAAGCGAAGAGATGTTCTGTTGGGAGCCTAGATAGAAATGGCTCGCTTTTAGAAACGTGGAATTATCTGTGGGCTGCACTGTAGTCAGTGCAGATCGAAACGGTGACAGTGTTGCTGCTAGTCTGATGAACGGCCACAGCAGCTCCCTCCCCAATGTGGTGGGGCAGCTCTGGACGGCTGTATGAATACATATTTCAGGAGCATATGGTGGGGGGAGTGGTTACCAAGATCTTCACAATGGTAAGCCCGACACCTGGCCTCTAGGAAACCAGTTACCCCTAGTTTGAGGAACTCAAGGCTGGGTGTAGGTCAAGGGCATAGCTAAGAGTAATGAACACTCAGCAGTGTGGTCTGAGTTCCTCAGGATGGGGAGGAGCTTCACTGAGACAGCGGATGTGAAAGGAGTATGTTTGGTGGCATTCTGTGCTGTGGGCTGTAGAGAACACATGCTATGTTTCTGTTGACTTCTTGGACTGTGGGTGGGTTGTTGTTGTTGGTGGTGGTGGTGTGTGTGTGTGAGAGATGGAGAAAGTCATGGCAGGGATTGCTAATAGACAAGGAAGTCACATGAGGGACAGGCACCGTTCCCTTACTTCAGAGAGTGAGAGTACTGAGATGCTGTGTTGTCCCTGTCATTTAGGGCATGGTGGCTCAGTCCTTTGTTCTTCCTCCTCCTGTGAGTTCTGGCTTATTTTTCTGCTATCAGTACAATTTTCAGAGAAACTCAATGAAATTTGACAGACTTACCTGGCAGTTTTCTGCCACGTTACCCCAACTCTTGGCTTACTGCCTGTTGGTTATGCTTCAACTCTCAGGCTCTACTCCAAGAATACATAGTCACTGCCCTTTTTAGGGGTGAAAAAGGCTATATCAAACAATAGTGGGAGCACTTGTCTTAAATGTGTAGTAATTGGAAAGTATATATCCTAGGTGGGGCTTTTATTTTGACATGAACCAGGGAAAGGAAACGTGCTTTAAGGGCTCTCTGGACTCCAGATTGGAATAAAATTTAATGAATGAACAACGAAACCAATCAATCATGTTCAGAATTTTTTCAGAAGAGCAGGACGTTCTGGGTGAGAGCTTGTAGGGATGGATGGTTAAGAACTGGAGATGGCCACACCACAGAAAGCAGTGTGGGGTTTCAAAGGGTCCTGTGTAAGCACACAAGTACATGTGCATGTATGTGGGGAGGGAGATGCTGATGGATGGGGTGGGAATGAGAAATGACTAGTCTAGTTTTCTATTTAATGGCTCATGATGTATTCTGGATTTGCGTGTCATTGCAATCTGTTGTTATCTCTGTTCATTATAAGCTTATAAGAAAATATTTAAAGCGCTATCTTAAATTCAAAAGAAACAAAAAGACATTATTTTGGACTGTCTGGGAAATTTCCAGTTCCCATCGCTGTTTAGTGGAGGATATTCAATCTGTAAAATTCAAAGTAGGACCAATGTAGATACTTGGTGTTCTATACCAGCCCCTTAAAGGCTATGACATCAGCAACGATAAGCTGTTCCCATGATAACTTTCCTTCATTAAAGATGAAATCAGTTATGCACTTTCATCTTCCCAGTGTGCTCCATCTGCTTAATTCTTTGAGTTGCTTTTCCTGGTGACTTTGTCCACCATTCCATTGCTTGCCCTCCACAGGCCACCGAGTGACTGACGCTCCTCGCTAGACCAAGGTTTCCGCACTTTGCCCTGCCGCCGTTTCCTAGTACATGCTTTCACACAGAAGCAGCAACTGCTTTTAGATTGATTGACATCCCATTGAGATGACTCATTGGGAAAAGGCTCTTGCCCTCAAGACTGATGCCCAAAATCTAAGCCTCAGGACCCATTTGGTGAAAGGAGAAAATAGTCTGTTGTCTCTGTACGTTGCCCTCTGAACTCAACACACACTATGGCATGTGTGTATCCTCACAAGTACACAGATCCATACACACAACAGTCTAAATTAGATTAACCCACAATGTAACAAGATGCACCCTTTTCTTGAACTTGTGGTTAATTATGTCTGCCCATGTTTTTCTTTTGAAGTTAAAAATTTCTAAGGGAGAACCTGAAGGTGTAAGTCACAAACAATGCCACACCAGTGTGGAATTATGATTAATAGGGTGGTATTTATTTAAAGGGGAAAAAACTTACAGATCACTGTCCCAGGCAACAGCCCTCTACGCAACCAGGAAGGGAGTCTAGTCGCCAGTGGAGCAGGAAGTAAAGAGAGGAGAAGGAAGTGGCTTTTTTAAAGGGAGAGAGATCACGCCCCAATGGGCTGGTGTCTCAGCAGCTATAGGCTGGAGGAGTGGGAGGACCTCCCACAACAAGAACCTAAAATTTTAGCCTTTTCTAACAATTGGTTGGATTTTATGGAATCAGTGGCCATTTTCAGTGATTTTGCTTGCATTTGCATAATTCACTTTGGAACATGAACCTGGTACTAAGAATTCAGGGCTGGAGAGGTAGCTCATGAGGACCCGAGCTTGGGTCCCCAGCACCCCAGGTGCACTAGGGAGGCAGAGACAGATGGACCCTGGAGCTCAGTGTCCTGCCAGCCTTCACACTCATGTGCAGACACAGGAACATGAACATGTACACACACACACACACACACACACACACACACACACACACACCGATACAAGAGATCATGTGTCTCTTTAGCTGTAAAATTTGAAAATTCAAATTGATCCTGAGAGTTAGCTTTCCAAAACTGTAAAAACAACTAGTATATTTGCAGAACTGAACAGTGATGTAATACAGTTAAAATAAACATACTTTAAGGTCACCTACAATAGCATCAATATCTGAATATGTTGACAGAAGCTGAGAAAAATTCCATTGCCATGATGTAAACAGTGGCCCCATAGGAGGCCTTAAAACAGCCAAGTCCAATTGTTGCATACAGATGTCTTAAACATGGGGTGAAGCATTGGGCTGGAGAAGTAGCTCAGCTGTTCGGAGCACTTACTGCCTTTCCAGACGACCCAAGTACCCATGTCAGGAGGCTTACAACTGCCTGTCACTCTTGCTTCTGTGGAACTGACACTCTCTTCTGACCTCTGAGCACTAGTACAGGCATGTGTGCACATGCACTTACACACGTGCATGTGAGCACACACACAAATTAAATAAACATTTTAATGGGAAACATAAAAATTGAATCACAATAGACCTCATACAGCCAAAGCAATCTTGCTAAAAGAATATACTTGAAGGCTTCCACTTCCTGACTTAACTACAGACCTATGTTGAACCAAGAATATGGTAATGACTTAATAACAGATAGAACAGTGAACAGAATAGAAAGCCCAGAAATTGATGCATTTGTGGTCAATTGATTTAGATAGTTGTGCCAAAAGCACACAGTAGGAAAGGGGCAGTCTCTCTGATAGTTGGTTTTTTTAAAAAAAATTTTTTTAAAAGCTGGGTGGTGGTGGCGCACGCCTTTAATCCCAGCACTTGGGAGGCAGAGGCAGGCGGATCTCTGTGAGTTCGAGACCAGCCTGGTCTACAGAGCTAGTTCCAGGACAGGCTCCAAAACCACAGAGAAACCCTGTCTCGAAAAACCAAAAAAAAAAAAAAAAAAAAAAATTTTTTTTTTTTTTTTGAAATATAGCTATGAGGGTGTCAGATCCTCTGGAACT